ACCAGCCTGGGTGTGGGCCTGGAGAAAGAACTCGGCGGCCTTGATATTGGCCCTTCCCACACACCCCTTTCCTCCGCTGTCCCTCCAGGGGGGTTTGACCGCCTTGCATAACCACGATGCAGTCCTTTGGGCCCCTCCCTGCCCTGATCTCACAAGTGCCCTCTCAGCACAATAGAACCAAGACGTTGAGTTCAGTCACCAGTCCAGAACAAGTGTCCTTCTGCCGAACCCATCCTAGTGCCGGCCTTACGCTCAGCAATTTTGTTGCGCCAGCTGCATCTCTGCCACCCTAATGCTCTTGACCTTTCTGCCAAGACTAAAGGACACCCGCCAGCATGACCAAAAGTCCTCACCCAGGGCATTTCGTGGGGCTGGATCTTGTTGCTTCTCGACAAGAACCTTGCTTTTCATGGCTCGGTTTTTCTCCAGCCCCAACTTCAAGCAAACATGTGAGTCAGAAGGACAAGGGCTATTCAGGGAAAGGGGCATTTCAAGGGTTTGGAGGGGTGGCGTGGGATCAAGAGGGTCCCCAGAGATCTTCTCAGCCTTCTCCCATGGAAGAAAGTAGACAAGAATGATATCACACTTGTTTGCACATAGACCAGGTGCCAGAGCCAAGAGCCACTGACCCAGATGGCTGGCAGCCCTGCCGGCCCCATCTCAGCTAGCTGCCGGAGTACCAGGTTCCCTGCTGGGTCAACCACTGGCCTTTTTGATGTTAGAACTTGGGTGGGTCCACAGGTCCCAAAGGGAGGGGCTGGAGTCCCTGATACAGGGAGAGTTTAGGGGCCGAAGTAATCTATTAGTGTTTCAGTACTTTGACAAGTATGGGCCTTCCTGTAATCCTTCAGGGTTCCCCAACTAAAACTTTTTTTTTTTGGCTCAAAGAACCTGAGCCGTGGGGGCTCATATAATACCTACCCCAGGTTACTTTCCCAGAGCCAGGCCAGGCCCAGGCTTGGACAGAAGTAGGCTGGTATCAGTAATTCCTCCTGCCCAGTCGGACTGCTGATCTGGGAGCCACTGAGGCACTGTGCCGTTTTAGTGGAACTGCTCTGGCCTAAGCAGCAGGAGAGTTACTCTGACCATCAGCATCTTACCAACCAGGCCACTTGGGTCAATTCGTAGCTGCAGAATGATGGGTCTGAAGCTCCTCACCTGGTTCTAGGCAGAACGGGCTACCAGGGGTCTTCCAACTTTTTAAACAGGGGGCCAGTTCACTGTCCCTCAGACCCGTTGGAGGGCCGGACTATAGTTTAAAAAAAACTATGAACAAATTCCTATGCACACTGCACATATCTTATTTTGAAGTAAAAAAACAAAACGAGGAAATAACACCTGGCGGGCTGGATAAATGTCCTCGGCGGGCCGCATGTGGCCCGCGGGCCGTAGTTTGAGGACCACTAGTACACCATTAGAGGTGTTCGTGCCAATGGAAGCCAGGGTGCTTGTTCAAAGGTTGTTGTGAATTAAACTAATCTCCTCTCTGTGCGGCACCGAAGGACCACACAAGCCAAAGACCCCAGAGCCAGTCCTGGCGCTAGGGCTTGATTGAAAGCCAGTCTGATTTTCAAAAGTGGATCTAAAAAATATTGTTCAACAAATACGTTTCCAGTCACAAGTTTTTAAAAAGAAGCTCTATATGGGTTGTGATAAGAGATGTAAGAGCCCCCAGTAAAAGTATTTAACCAAAAAAAGAAAGAAAGAAAAGAAAAAAGGAGCTTTGAACTAAGCTCAAGTCACGGAGCCAACCTTCTAGAACAAGGAAGTCGAAGTCATTACGTCCACCTCGAGTCAGCACCCCTGTCCTGTGTCCAGCCATTCCCGGTCACCACGCAATCTACCCTCCAGTTGGCCTCCAATAGCCGGTGGGTTTAGGGCCAGGGGACCGAAGTCCAAGGTTATGCTCAGATGTCATTTCCTCCTTGGAGAAGAGTCTGCTGTGGTAGAGGTCAGGGACCCAGGACGCCCTCACTGCTCTTGGTGCTATGAGTTCAGGGCAGGCCAAAGTCCAGAGTCTATGGGCTTGGTGAACATCTACAGGGTAGAGCAAGAGACACCCCCTACCCCCCAAGCTCTGCCTTCGATTCCTTCTCCCCATGCCTTTCAGTTGTGACTAGACCGGAGCGCGTGCACTGGTACAGATAAGAGCTCAGGGCACATGGAATCCAAGTCAGACAAACCCCTCAGGAACAGAAATGGGAGTAGTGATACCAGAGGGCAGGGGCAAGGTGGGGAGTGAGTGCAGGAAGGGGGAACCGATCACAATGATTGACAGATAACCACCCCCCACACCCCCAGGGGGACAAACAAGAGAAACCGTGGGGGAAGGGAGACAGAGGTCGGTGTAAGATATGAAACTCATAATAAATTATGATTTATCAAGGGGTCACGAGGGGAGGAGAAGGGAGGGAAGGAGAAAAAGAGGAGCTGATACCAAGGGCTCAAATACAAAGCAAATGTGTAGAAAATAATGATGGCAATGTATGTATAAATATGCTTCAGACAATTGATGTATGGACTGTTATAAGAGCTCTAAGAGGCCCCAATAAAATGATCTTAAAAAAAAATGTTGAAGAGCTAGGCTGTCATTTTGAGGACTACGGTCCACCTGTCCCGGGTATTTCCAGTTGCCTTGTAGGTATGTAAAAGTTGGACAGTGGTTAAAGAAGACGACAGAAGCAGGCATGCATTTGCACGATGGGGTTGGGGAAGAATATGGAACGTACCACGAACAGGCTGAATCAACACAAGTCTGTGCGGCAGAATCCCCCTTAGCAAGGAGGCCGATGAGACTTCGTCTGATGCGCTTTCCGCGTCCTGATAAAAGACCACATGCCTCCTAAAGGAGAGGGTCATTGGGGCAGGGGGAGGGCCCCGACGAGGTGGATGGTGGATGGACACGGAGGCTGCAGCCATGGGCTCC